AATAAAAATATTTTTTTAAAAATGGTGGTGGGTTCAATTCCTGGCCAGGGCACATACCCTGGTTGCAAGCTTGATCCCCAGTCAGGGTGTGTGGGAGGCAACTGATCAATGTTTCTCTCTCACATCTATCTCTCTCTCTCTCTCTCTCTCTCTCTCTCTCTCTCCACCTTTTTCTCTCTAAAATCAATTGTAAAAATATATAAAACTATTAATTATTGATAAAAGTAAATATATAGTAAAATTCAGAATAATCTAATATTATAATTATTTATAAAGTTAATATGAAAGCTAAAAGACAAAAGTAGTAAAAATAACTATAATACTTCGTTAAGGGAACATAAAATAAAAAGTTGTAAATTTTAACATCAAAAAAATAAAATGTGGGGAAAAGAGTAAAAATGCAGAGCATTAGAATATAATCAAACTTAAATTATTATCAACTTAAAAATAGGCTGTTATAAGTTGTTTTATATAAGCCTCATGGTAACAAAGCAAAAACATATAGTAGACACAAAAAAGAAAAAGGAAACTAAGCATAATACTACAGAAAATCATCAAATCACACAGGAATAGAGCAAGAGAAGAAAGGAACAGAGGGTGCACAAAACAGCCAGAAAGCAATTTACAAAATGGCAATCAGTATGTACCTATTGATTACTTTAAATATAAATGAGTTCAATTCTCCAATTGAAAGACATAAAGTGGCTGAATAGATTAAGAAAGAGAGATCCATCTATATGGACACACATAGACTGACAGTGAAGGAATGGAAAAAAATATTCCATGCAAATGGAAACCAAACAAAAGCTGGGGTAGCTATACTTATATCAGACAAAATAGATTTTAAAACAAAGACTATCATAAGAGACAAAAAAGGTCATTATGGAGAAACCAAGATGGCGGCATAGGTAAACACCGGAAATTGCAGCCTCTGACAACTTCAAAAATACAATGAAAAGACAAAACAGACACCATCCAGAATCACAGGAAGGCTGGCTGAGTGGAAATTCCACAACTAGAAGGAAGGGAAAAAGCACACTGAGACTCAGAGGAGCTGCAGAAGTAAAGTGCAGCGGTACGGAAGCTTGAGCGTGCGTAGAAAGGGGCTGGCACCTGAGGACGCGGCTGTCTTTTTGAATCGGGAGGGAGTCACAAGCTCCCGACTACTCTGAACTCCAGTTCCGGGAACTCTCTGGGGACCCAGGACTCATATGGGGAGAAACTGGACTGTCTGGCAGCAGGCAAAACTCAGAACTTGAGGGCGGCTTTCTCTTAGAGGTGCTTGCAGCAATTACTGGGACACTGAGATGCGGGGCCCCTTAGGGCAGGGCTGAGGATCAGCTATAGCTGCTTGCTCTGCCCTGCTGATTCCTTAAGATCCCACCCCACTCAGGCTGTGGCAGACGCTTTTGCATATGAATGCCTTGGCCCTTTGCAATCTGAAAATTACCTAACAAACTGCAGCTGGGCCAGACAGAAC